TTTTGAGGCAGGGTTTCCCTGTAGCCCCAGCTGTCCTGGATTCACCATGGAGACCAGGCTGGCCTCGAACTCACAGAGATCCACCCGCCTCTGCCTCCCAAGTGCTGGGATTAAAGGCGTGCACCACCCGCCCGGCAGTATGCACATATTTTACACAATATTTAAAGGAGAAAAAAGGGTATTTTATGACATGTCAGCAAGGCTTGCTTACTAATGCCTATAATCCTAGCACTTGAAAGGCTGAGGGAAAAGGATCATGGATTTGACACTCATGTCTGGGTTACATAGGGAGTACCAGGCAAAACTGAGCTACATAGTGAGACTCTGCCTCAAAAAAAAAAAAAAAAGTATCCAAGGGCTGGAGAGATGACTCAGTTCCAAAGGATGTGTCCCACTCTTGACTGGCCTCTGCAGGTGCCCATGTACATGTGGTACACATATAGACAAACAAGCACACACATATACATATAATAAAATTTTAAAATGTAAAATGTCTCTCTCTACCCTTGTTTCCCATTACCCCCATCAGCAATTGCTCTCACTAGTTTCTTAAGTAATCTTCTGTGCCCCATTTCTTTTATTAGCTCAGTAACTCCACACTGTAGGGATATACCAAATTTATTTTGATGTTTCAGTAGAGAGATACCTAGATTGTTTCCAGTGCTACTATTCACTGGCATCTAAATTGTGTCAATCTTATAATTTCTCAGCTTTTCTTTTTGGTTTTTGTTGTCGTTTGTTTTGAGACAGGATCTCACTATGTAGTCCTGTCTGGCCTTGAACTGACTATGTAGACCAGGCTAGCCTGGAACTCAGGAGAGTCGCCTGCCTCTGCTTCCCCAGAGCTGAAGTTAAAGGAGTGAACCACCACAAATGGCTTTCGACTTCTCTTAACAAGATAGTGTTTCCAATTGTACAGATGCACCATAATCCATTTGCCTATCAATGAGAATTTGGGCTTGAATGCCATTTACCTTCCTCTTGGGGCACTTGTGCTGCTGATCATTTCTATCATTTTGCTGGTCGCATAGCTTCTTAGGTGTTCAGCTTCTCTAGAACCAAGGCAATGTTTGCATTCTCTTAAGCTAGCATTGTACTTGGTCCCAGAAATTTGATTATTAAGCTTGTGAATACAATTCGTTTGCCCCTTCCAACTTTGAAGCTCAAGTTGGAGCTCAATGTTGGAGCTCAAGTGAGGGAGAGGTATTGTCTGTTGTTTTGAGACAGGGTCTCCCTGTAGCCGCAGCTGGCCTGGAACTCACTATGTAGACCAGGCTGGCCTCGATCTGACAGAGATACACCTGAATGCCGAGTTTAAAGGCGTGCACCACCACGCCTGGCTAGATCGTCTCTTTTTATTAGTGCTGGTATTACGCAACCACACCATGCAAGCCCGGAACTTTTATGTAACAGTGTCCTTGTTTCTCAGGGAGGATTTTGGCAGTAAAGCCTACCACACACAAACATAGTTGCCATGCGCCGGAAGTAACCGGTGATTTTGCTGGCGTCCGTTCTTCCGCAGGGCGGAAAAGGCATGTCTTCTTGTGTCCCGACCATTTCCAGTCCTCTTTCCTTGCAAGACCCCATGAGTAAACTGTGGCGGCGCGGAAGCACCTCTGGGGCTATGGACGCCCCTGAGCCGGGTAAGCGCGGGTCGCTCAACCTTAGGTCTTCTTGGAAAAGAGTCCCTTTTATCTTCCCGGAGCTTCTACCGCACCTCGCTACAGGTGGGAAGGAGGCAGTGCTGTTGTTATGGTAACAGCTAGTAACGTGGGAAGAGTGGGACTGGGGGGGTGATAGTTTATTCATATCTTCCCCTGCCAGTTTGATAGAACACAGTTGACAGGCTCTCCTTCCGTAGGGGAAGCACTCGAGTTGAGCGTGGCAGGTGCCCACTGCCACGGAGTACACAAGAAGAAACACAAGAAACATAAGAAGAAACACAAAAAGAAGCATCACCAGGAAGAGGAGGCCGGGTCGACACAGCAGGCTCCTGCTAAGCCCCAGCTTAAACTCAAAATCAAGCTGGGTGGGCAGGTTCTGGGCACCAAGAGGTGAGGCTAAGAGAGTATTTTCCTTGGGAAAATTTAGGAATGGGAGTTAAAATTGGACGTTGGTGGGACTTCCTAGAAAACAGATGAACATTGACCAGGGCTCAGGCTAAGGTAGCAAAAACCCGAGGGGGTAGGGAAGCCATATATAGTTCAGCAGGACAGAGCCACTTGTTCACTTTGATAGTAGTGTTGCCTCTCTGCAGTGTTCCTACCTTCACTGTGATCCCTGAGGGCCCTCGATCACCCTCTCCCCTGATGGTTGTGGATAATGAAGAGGAACCTATGGAAGGAGTGCCCCTGGAGCAGTATAGAGCCTGGCTGGGTGAGAAAGACTTTGGAGGGAAACTGGGTTTCTCATTTACACCTGTTAAAAGGGAGTTGGCTCTGAAATGTGTGAAAATTTTGAATGGTCCAGTACTTCCTTTGCCAAATTAAGATTCCCCATCTCAACAATTTCTCTCTCCAACTTTCCTATCCAGATGAAGACAGCAATCTGTCCCCCTCCCCACTCCGGGACCTGCCAGGTGATTTGGGGGGCCAGGAGGAAGAGGAGGAACAGAGGTGGCTAGAGGCCCTGGAGAAGGGGGAGCTAGATGACAATGGAGACCTCAAGAAGGAGATCAATGAGCGGCTGCTTACTGCTCGGCAGGTCGGTTCATTCTTATTCATTCATCAAATATGTTATCTCCAACTTGCCATTCCCCAAACACTTTGCGAGACAGTGGGGATATCCATGGGAGAGAAAAGATAACATTTCTGTTCTCATGGTACAGACTGGGGGATGGTAATTAAGTAAATAACTTCAAAAAACTACAGAAAATAGAAATGATGGTAGGGTAGTTGAATGCTTCTTTGAAGAGATAATATTTCCAATATCAGAGGAACTTTTTAGGCAAAGAGGCCAGCAGACATAAAGCCCATAGGTACAAAGATCAGAAGACTAGATAGAACATGCCAAGCAGGATAAAAGAAAAAAACAATGTGGCTAAGCCACTGATGGGTTATATGCAGAGGCAACATAGCTGACTTACATTTCAGTAATTACTTTGGTCACTGTGTGGGGACATGGGAGATAGAGATGGCTCAGTTGTTAAGAGCACTTGCTGCTCTTGCAGAAGCCAGGTTTGTTTCCCAGCACCCATATGGCAGCTAGCAACTGTCCATAGCTCCAGTTCTAGGGGAATTCAGTGCCCTCTTCTGGCCTCTGTGGGCACTACAGGACATGCACGCACATGCACACAGGCAAAACACTCACAAATAAAATAAAAATAATATTTTTAAAAAGGGAGCTTGAGAGATGACTCAGCAGTTAAGAGCAGCGGCTGGCTATTCTCCCAAAGGACCAGGGTTCAGTTCCCACCACTTACATGGTGGCTAAGAACCTTCTGTAACTCCAATTCCAAATGATCTGATGGCCTCTTCTGGTTTCTGTGGGCACTACAGGACATGGACTCATACATGCAAAACATTCATAAAATACAAAATAAAATTTACAAAAAAAAAGTAGAACTAGGAAACTGTTGATGAATGGGTGTGGTGATGCACATCTGTAATGGCAGAGACTTGAGAGGCAGGAGGATGGCTGCGTGTTCCAGACCAGCCAGGACTAATAAACAGTCTTGTGTCAGGTAATAAAATAAAAAGATAAAGTGAGGAGGTGGTTTGAGCCAAGAAATCACAGGAATGCTGGATATGTTTTGGAAGTAGTTACCTGATAGGAGATGGCTAAAGAAAAAGGAATCCAGGGTAATTGAATTTTGGGCTTGAGCCCAAACCCAACTGATGTTGTCTACTGACGATGACCCTTGAGGGTCAAGGAGTCCTGGGAGGAGACGATATTAAGGGCCCCAGAAATGTGTGCTGATTAATCCGATCCTTATGCTGAAGCCTGTGATTCAGATCCCTCTGGTAAGACCCTGCTTTCCTTGTACCCCCTGGACTAGGAGACCTCGCCACTCGACACCGCCCTTCCCTTTCTTTCCCCAGCGCGCTCTGCTGCAGAAGGCTCGCAGTCAGCCCTCCCAGATACTGCCTCTGCCAGCGGCCGGAGGTTGCCAGGCCCCCGCCCTAACCGAAGAAATGCTGCTGAAGCGCGAGGAGCGGGCGCGCAAGCGGCGGCTGCAGGCGGCGCGGCGGGCGGAGGAACACAAGAACCAGACGATCGAGCGCCTCACCAAGACGGCTGCGCCCAGCGGGCGCGGAGGACGCGGGGCCGCGCGGGGCGAGCGGCGCGGAGGGCGGGCGGCGGCCCCAGCCCCGGCCCCAATGGTGCGCTACAGCAGCGGAGCGCAGGGCTCCACCTTGTCCTTCCCACCCGGCGTCCCCGCACCCGCGGCAGTTTCGCAGCGGTCCGCCCAGTCCGGCCCTCAGCGCTGCTCGGTGCCTGGCTGCCCCCACCCACGCCGCTACGCCTGTTCCCGCACCGGCCAGGCACTCTGCAGCCTCCAGTGCTACCGCATCAACCTACAGATGCGGCTGGGGGGACCCGAGGGCCCGGGGTCCCCCCTCCTGGCTACCTAAGCCCCTAGCGAGCCGGGACTCTCCACCTTCTCTCATGCCGGGTTTTCAGTGTCTTCCTCGCCCTATTAAATTTCATCCGGTGTCTCGCGGCTTGTACGGAATTGGGGGAGTGGGATATGGGCAGGCCGGTACCCGGTGCACAAAGCCCGCCCAACCTAGGGCTTAGAATTAATCCTGCCAACATTCTCGGTGGGTCTGCAGTACTGAGTCGGAACCGGCCCCCACATCCCGGATTATCAACGGTGCTCCAGCATCTGGCGTCATCCGGAAAATATGGGTCCAGCCAATCAGCGGGAACTTTGCTCTTCAGGAAGGCCGTTCATTGGTTGATAAGTCAAAGCGTGTTCTGTTGTCGGTATTGGCTATTGTCGCTGTCAGTCAGGGCCGCTGTCGAACCTTCCCCCATTCTTTGTCTGTGCAAGCCCTTGTTGTCTGGAGGAGCCCCGGAGCTGGAGCCGTGGATTGGTCAGAGGGCAAAACCTACTGGACACTCTTATTGGTCCGTCTGTCAGTGGGCGATGCTGATTGGTTGGACTGAGTAACCGAGTCCTAGTTGGCGGATCTCTCCCCGGATGGAAGCTCCGGCAGCGGAATGATGGTGGCAGCAGTGAAGATGGGCCGGGCAGGGACCATGGCGGTGGCGGCAGAGGTGGCAGGGGTGGGGCAGCTGGCGGTGGAGGAGGCTGTGGCCTTCAGGGGGTTGTAGGTGGAGGCATGGCACGGGCCAGCAGCGGGAACGGGAGCGAAGAGGCCTGGGGGGCACTTCGGGCACCGCCACACCAGGTATACCAGTAGCTCCTAAAGCCTATCACGACAGCCATTTATTTCTTTCCCCTTTCCTGTCCCTTCCTGTTGGGAGGTGGGGGAAGAACTCACGGAATCAGATGTACTATGAAGTTCCTAAAGATGACACTTCTACTCTTTGTCTAAACTTTGTTACGTAGACGCAGTAGACTTAACCTGCAGCCTGTTAGACCCTATCCCAAGGCTGCAGTGTAAGTTTGCGGTGGCTCTCCAGTGACCAGAGCCATAGTGAGGACACAGGGAAGCTCCCTCTGTCTTGTAGCAGTTATTTGTGATGTTTTTCTATGTGCCTATTGTCACAACAGAGTCCGGCAGCGTCTTCTCTTGAGGGAGCAATTTGGAGAAGAGCTGGAACCCAGACTCGCGCCCTGGATGCCATCCTTTATCATCCACAGCAATCCCATCTGGTTGGGAGCACTGCTCTGGGTCTCAAACTGCCCCTCCTCTATCCCAGGGAGCCTGAGACCCAGGGGTGGAAAGATCCTTCTTGGGGGTTGTGGGAGGCAGACCTTCGGAGGGTTGGGGGATGATAAAAGCATTTTAGCTTTGAAAGTGGCTTTAAATTCCTACCCATTGTCTGACCTCAGATGGTGTTCTGTTTCACCCAAAACACTTTCTTAGTGAAATCTATCCTGGGGGCCAGGCTTGAATGAGAGGTCTTGGGCTTAAAGAGCTGAAATTGTCCTCTTTGTATGTCTACACTTTTGTGTTTGTTTTCTACACTTTCTTGGAATTCCAAATCCTCCATACTGACAGCCCTACATGTATTTAAACATTTCTCTCAGCATCTTCTATCCCATCTTTCCAGGCTGAGATGGCTCACAAGGTGGGACTATGTGTGTTCAGGAAGTGGGGGTGGGTAGGGCATTTGGCTAGAATCCTTACTAAATGCCTCCTTGCCCCCCAGCTTCAAGAGCTGTGCCCAGGAGTGAACAATCAGCCCTACCTCTGTGAGAGTGGTCACTGCTGCGGAGAGACTGGCTGCTGCACTTACTACTATGAGCTCTGGTGTGAGTCTCCAGAAGGAATCAATCTCAGATCCTCTGCCCACCTTCAGAATTCAGCTGAAATATATTCTCCTTGCCTCCTACAGGGTTCTGGCTGCTCTGGACTGTCCTCATTCTCTTTAGCTGCTGTTGTGCCTTCCGCCACCGAAGAGCTAAACTGCGACTGCAACAACAACAGCGGCAGCGTGAGATCAACTTGTTGGCTTACCATGGGGCATGCCATGGGGCTGGCCCTGTCCCTACCAGTTCACTGCTTGACCTTCGTGAGTGACTTGAAGCTCTGGGTGCAGTAACAGTGACCCTTCCCAAACTAGGACACTGAATCACCCCACATTCCCACTGGCTGACATTTCAAAGCACCCTGTTCCCTGAAGATCATTTCTCTATTCCTGGTTGCCTTCAACTGGGTTGCCTTGTTCTCTCCCCTGCAGGCCTCCTCAACGCCTTCAAACCTCCAGCATATGAGGATGTGGTTCATCGCCCTGGCACACCGCCACCTCCTTACGTTATGGCCCCAGGTCACCCCCTGACTGCATCCAGTGAATGCACCTGCTGTTCCTCTGCATCCAGCTGCCCTGCCCACTGTGAGGGGACAAATGTGGAAGGTGTTTCCGCCGACCAGAGCAGCTCTCCTCATCAGGAGGGTGAACCCAGGGCAAGGTTGAGCCCAGTCCACACCCCTCCCTCCTGCCGCTATCGTCGTCTGACTGGTGATTCAGGTATTGAGCTCTGTCCTTGTCCTGACTCCAGTGAAGGCGAACCAGTCAAGGAGATGAGGGCTGGTACTACCCAACCACATCTGGAGGACCATTCCCTTTATACATTGCCCTCAGATCCCATGTCCCAGGTCTCTCCCCAGGGGCTGGCTTCCAGTTCCAGGCACATCCCATGAGTAGTTTTAGGAAGGACACTGGGCTACTTACCCACCAGCAACAGCCCTGGTCCCAACTCCAATCCTCCATTTGGGCCCATTCCTACCCTCCTAGAATCTGTCTAAAAAGGCTGGAGTCCTGAAGAAAGGGGCAGTACCAGGAACTGTGCTAGCTTTACTCACTCCCAAGACATACACAGGAGCCTTTAATCTCATTAAAGAGATGTGAACCAGCTGCTTGTGATTTGAGGTGAATTTGGGTAGACTAGACCAACTCCCTGCATGGTCCTTAACTGCACTGGATTTGAAGGAGGCATGCAGTAGCTTGCTTGCATCACCTTCCTGAGGACAGCAAGTAACCTTGAGGCCTAAACTGAACTGGGACTTCTTGGGTAGACAAAACTGCCCAAAGTAAGTTTACTTATATTTCTTCCATTTTATTTAGAAAAAAATAGACTCTTGAGTTCACATTCACCCCAGGACTGTGTGGGATAACAGGAAACACCTGAGATAACTTTAGCAAGATGTATGGAACCAGAAATCAAAGACCTCTCCAGATTCCAAGTCACATAAATAGTCTTGCCTTCCTCCTGTCTTTTCAGTAGTCTTCAGCCATGATCAGCAAGACAAGGCTGGTCCAGCCTTGAAAGGGACGGCAGCCCATGCCCCGCCCATCCTGATCACTGTACTGTTCCCACAGAAACCCTGTAGCCTGATACTGCTGCAGAACATTGCTCACTACATTGACACGGAGCTCACGGTAGAGCTTGGCGGCCTGGGCCTGGTGGGGACCTTCCAGGTGTCCATAGTGGTGGAGTGCCCCCAAAGCCAGGTAGTTGATATTCAGCCACACTGCACCCCTCCAGTAGGGAGGATCATGCTCAGAATTTCGCTGTCTATAAAAGGGGCTGGAGGCTGCAAGGGATCGCAATCCAAAGGGGCTCCAGAGATGGCCACTGTCAGCTAGAATGTCCAGCAGGGACCCCAGGCGGGGTGAGCTAGGGTCCAGTAACTGCAGCAGCAAGGGAAAAAGAGTGACATAGCCCAGGGCATCCACATATTGCAGCTGAGGATGGGGCCAGCCTACCACCCGAACAAACCCCTGAGGGGGCCTGGACTTGAGCTGTACAGCTTTTGTGTGGTTCCCAAAGTCTGCAAAGGCCCCCAGTTCTGGGGCCCAATGTAGCTCATCCAGGCTTTCTGGTTCCTCCAGAGAGGCAGCCAGTGGGCCCAGCTCTGCAGCTGCTTCTGCCTCCCCCAGCTGCTCTGCAAGCTGTGACAGCACCCGGGCACCTAGTGCCACCCAGCATCGCAGATCTAGGTGCCGCTCCATTGTAGAAGGGTGTGAGGCCCTGGGATAGTCATCCAGCCCTGAGGGTAGTGTCTTGGGGTTAAGAAGAGTGGGTAAGGCTGGGTCCCTGCCTCGCCAGCGGTAAGATAGTGGCACTGGTCCTGCCTGGCTCTGATAGAGCCAAGAGAACCAAGCGTGCAGTCGGGGAAAGGCCCTGCGGAGGAAGGCTACGTCAGCAGAGTCACCACCTTTGAGCATGTGTAATACTGGCAACAGCAGTGTTGGGGGGTTGGCATGGGCTGCCCGTTGCACCAGGAATTCTGGGGGTACTCGGGCTCGGGCCTCATCCCCCAGAATCTGCTCCCGTCCAATCCAGCCATCAGCATTGAGCAGCCCCAGCCAGTGGCCTAGAGCTTCCCGGGTGAGGTGGGGATCCCACCGCTGGACTACTAGCTGGTGAAAGCCTTCATCCCATAGGAAGCCTCGTGGGAAGAATGACCTGGAAGGTACCCCAGAGAAGAGGGGAACAGGTGGAAAGAGGGCAGGGTCCACCTTCTGCTCAGACCCTTCCACCCCAGTATCTGGCAACACTAAACCCTGTCCATGGAAGTAACCAATCCCACCAAGGAGGCCACTGAGGGCAACCTGACCCAAAGCCTGCTCCCCAAGACTCAGGCCCTTCTCCTTTAGCTGGAAGGTCTTCTCATAGCGCTCTTGAAAGGCTGTGGCATGGCTTTCCAGGGCCTGGGTCAGTTGGTTGCCTGCTAGCTGCCCAGGGGCTTGATTTCTTTCTGCCTGGGCACTGCCAGACTCAAACACAAACTCCACAGAGAAGGGGACTTTCAGTGTCACCTGCTGTATCAAGAACTGTCCTTGCACACTTGGGCCTTTCTCCTCCCACTTCAGAGATCCAGGCAAGCCAAGGTAGCGTTCAGGAGCAACCCCTGGGGGCTGGTGCTGAAACCAGCTGTTTAGACGACTCTTTACCATCTCTGTGAGGAGTGGCAGTCCTGGGTTGGAGGACCAGAGGACGTTGTAGCTTGAAGGCAAGAAGACAAATGGGAAATATTATTCAGGAAGGCAAGAGGGGATTCTAAAGGGAAAGAGGAATGATAACAGAATCAGGAGGGAGGTTTTGCCAGTGCAGCGAACATGGAGACTTGGGGAGGCAAAATAACCAGTGGGAAGAAGGTAGGGTGTGGTGATAGAATCCAGGCTAAATTGGGGCTGAAGAGATGGCTCAGGGGTTAAGAACAATGACTCTTCTTGCAGAGGACCTGGGTTCAGTTCTCAGCACCCACATGGCAGCTACATGGAACCATCCTTAATTCCAGTTCCAGGGGAATCTGAAGCCCTCTTCTGACCGCGGCATTGCATGACACGGATGCACTCACATACATGCAGGCAATACACCCATACACATTAAAAAAAAAAAAAGAAGAGGCCAGGCATGGTTGCGCACGCCTTTAATCCCAGCACTTGGGAGGCAGAGGCAGGTGGATCTCTCTGAGTTCTAGGCCAGCCTGGTCGCCAAAGTGAATCCAGGACATCTGGGGCTACAGGGAGACCCTGTCTCAAAAAGGCCAAAAAAAAAAAAAAAAAAGAATCCAGGCTAAATCAATCCACCCTGCCACCGCCCTGTACTCTTCCCCCCAGTTACCTGCCATGCTTAGGGGCAGCATCTCCTGGACTGGTTGGTGGCAAAAGTGTAAGGCGGAAGTCACCAAGTTCATTGGTATGCCCACTGATGAACTTCAACTGCCCTTTGGCTCCAACCTCTGGAAGTAGAACTTCCTGGCCATCTGTCACCACATAGAAGAACAGGGAGACCAAAGGGAATGAAGAAGTACCTGAGGCCTGGGTGACCAAAGAGAACAATGAAGCATTAGACTGACATTCTTTTAAGAATCAGCCATAGGACGAATTACAAGGGAGAAATAGAGCAAACAGTGCTGAGGGTCACTGAGGGTAAGTAGGGACACCCAGTGGGATGAGTCTTGCACAGGGTTTTCTGGGAGAGGATAGGGCAGTTTTGTGCTAAGTCCTACACTTAGAACTCCATGTGGATTATTTCATTTAATCTTGTGAGTTAGGTGCTGTTACAATCTCTGCTTTACAAACAAGGAAATCAAGACTTGGAGGTTGTAGGCAGATATAGACTATTGTTTACGGCAGGAGGCAGCCAGGCCAGTTGCCTGGCTCTTAATTGCGGCTGCATACTGCATTTGCTGGCTGCAAGGGAAGGATGGGAGAGTCAGTCTAGACTGAGGAAAGGGGATCCTGAGGCCCTGACCTGAGACTCTACGGTCACTCTCCAGCTCCACTCCCCTCCATGTTGTCCCCCAGGCCTCTTGACGAACTCAGTGGTGAGCCTTAAAGTCCCATCCTTGATGTGTTGCCGCCCGAAGGAGAGGCCGTCGTGGAATTCCCAGCCATAGGGACCCACGCCGTCCCCCTGCTCACACGTGTGCCTGAGCTTGGGAGGGGTCCCTGGGGTGGCGCCCTGCTGCGCCCACATCAATCCTGGGGGGTAGAATGGCCACGTAAGTCAACGAGATCGCTGTCCCTCTGGGTCTCTGAGGGCTTTAGGGTCTATCCACTCCTACCCTCCCTCGCTCTGGCAGGAAGCTGGGGAACCCTATAGGGTCCACCCTGCCTACCGCCCGCCCCAGGCCCGTTACCAGTTACGAGCGGCTTTGGGCTGCGAGTCTTCATGCCGAAGTAGACATGGGGGCGGTAGGTGCCCCAAAAGAGCTCCGGGGACACGGCGGGGCTGGAGGAGTCGGGGGGCAGCGCGGGGGGCGCGGGGTGCAGCGTGAGCGCGCGGCGCGCACGGAGCCACTCCAGCGCCCAGCGCCCAGACAGGCCCAGGGCGAGGGCCAGGACTACGACCGCGAACGCCGCGCCGCCCGCAGAGCCCCGCGCCCCTTGCCCCTGCCGTCCCGCCGCCCGGGGCCACGAGCCCGCTCCACCGGCCGCGTCCCCTCTGCGGGCGCCGGGCGCCGCCGCCGCTCGCCTCGAGCCATCTTAGCCCCGGGCGGAGAGGCAGCCGAGCCCGGACCTGCCTAACCGCTGGAATCGCAGCCGGCTACCACCGTCCACTCAATTGAGCCTGCAGCCCGCGCCTCACTCTGCGCCCGCCTCGGTCCGGAAGCCCCGCCCTGCCACGTCAGGTCAAGTCCCAGAACCCGGAAGTGCTGTCTGGCGCGACCCAGTCCTCGGGCACCCGCTTCAGAGTTCCCAGACCTGTAAAACAATCTCACTTTAAACTTCTTCCGTTTTGTTATTTTCTTTAAATAATGACCATGGGCTGGAGAAATGGTTAAGAGGGTAAAGCAATGGTCACCAAGCCTGACAACTTGAATTCGATCCCCAGGACCCATATGGTGGGAGACAACCAACTCCTGAAAGCTGTACTCTTGACTTTCACATGCGTTACACTCACACCCTCGTACACTCACCCTCTGATCTCAGGCGTGCCGTGACACGAGAATACACGAATACATAAATAAAATGTTAAAAATCCCTGGGCGCGGTGACTCACTTTTTTTTTCCCAGCACTGAGGCATAAATCTCCGAGTTCGAGGCTTGCTGGTCTACATAGCAAGTTCCATACCAATTAGGGCTACATAGTGAGACTCCTCTCAAAAAATAAAATGATCATACTATAGCCAGGAGGGTGAGAGTTTGTCCAGATTGTTCTGTCCTGGAACTTGCTACCTAAAGCCAGGTTGGTTGTTTTGAGATAAGGTCTGTACATAGTCCAAGCAGTCCTCCACAATATCCTCCTGCCTCAACCTCCAGAATGTATGGAGCCTGGCTCTAATGTGCTATTTTACATATTACTGCCCAGTTCCAATCTGGTAACCGAAAACCACAGTCTAGGAAATAACAAATAATTGGGTCCAGACTGCAGATCTGGAAAATGGCCAAGAACTCAAGTGCATCTGAATTAAACTAGATGGCTACCCAGACCCTCCTGTACCTTCTTTCCTCCTGGAGAGCGGACCGGTGAGGAAGACTGGAATCTGTTTCTTTAAGCAACTGTGTGACTTCAGACAACTATCTCTAACTCAGCCTTAAATATATTTTTGGAGACAAGGTCTGTATCCCAGGTTGGTCTCAAACTTGCTATGCAACCAATGATGACCTTGAACTTCTGATCCTCCTGCTTCTACCTCGTCAGTGTTGAGATTACAGGTGTGTGCTCTTACCAGTATATTTGGTGCTGAGGGTCAAACCTGGAGCTTCATGCATGTTAGCCAGGCACTTTACTGACAGAGCTATTGCTCCACCCTTTTTTCATTCATTCATTTGCAGTGCCAGGGATGGAACCCAGGGACTCTTACACACCAAGCAAGTGCTTCACCACTGAGGTACATCTCAGCCCCTTCACCTACCATTCTTATCTAGATGAACTCTAGAAGGATACTAATAGTGTCCATACTTACAAAATGCATTTTCTTCCCTATGACCCAGGATGCAGAAGGGAAAAGGTGGCTTAAGTCTGTCTAGAGACTACACAAAGATAGCATCTGAACCTCAGGTTGACCTGAAACAACTTTTTTTTTTCCTTTGTACATGGTCTCCTTAAGCAACTTTGAAAACATGAAGACCTGGCTTGGGAATTCCCTACATCTACATAAAAAGCCAGGTTACAGAGTAGTACATACGTGTAACCTCAGCACTGGAAGAATGGAGACAGGGAATCTGGGGGGCCAGTCTAGCTGAAAGGGATGACTCCAGGTTCAGTGAGAGACCCTGTCTCAAAAATGATAGTTCAAGGGGCTAGACAGATGGCTCAGTGGTTAAGAGCACTGGCTGCTCTCACAGAGGACCTAGGTTTGGTTCTCAGCCCCCACATGGCGGCTAACAACCATCCTATAACTCCAGTTTCAGGGGTTCTTGTTAGATTTTTGGAGAATAGAAAAGGAAGGAGTTTAAAGTTTAGAAATAAGAGTCAGAACCAGGCATGCAACAGGCAAGGAATGAGTTCCCTTGATTCAGGAAACCCAGCAAAGGGCTAATAGATCTTCCTCAAGGAATGATTATCTGCGACCTGAAGGAGGAGCAGTCTGGTCTTACACAGGAACTCTGTTGCACACAGCTTCAAAAGTTAACTCCGTGTCAGGGTCTGGTGTCCTTGAGGGTCTCTTTTCTCAAGATTATTTGTTCAGGCAGGCGGGTGAGTTATCTATAGCACTATAGGAGACAGGTGGGCTTCACAGTCTCTCTCAGTCCAGGGAGTGACTAGTTGATAAGGCTTGAGCAAGGCCAGGCTGCCAATTTAGGGCCAGTTAGACACTTTAAGGGATTTATGGCTTTCCCTAGTGAGGCTTGTGGCTCTTTTGCAATTCACAACATCTATTAGTTCTGACACTCTCTTCTGACCTCCACAGGCATTGCACAACATGGGTGCACTTACATGCATGCAGACAATACACTCATACACATAAAAATAATAAAACATATAGTAGAAAATAAGAGTGACAGTAGACCTTTGGCTTCCACCCACCCAGACACAGGCAGAGACACCTGCACACACACACATATACACTACACAATGTATACTGCAACCCAGCACCTGCAAATACACGCACATATATTAATAGGATATACATGATTATTTGCATAGTTTCCTAAAAGAATACTCATATGAATGCATGGATAACTTTTTTTAAAAATATTACTTATATTTTATATGTATGAGTGTGCTGCCTGCAAGTATGTATCGTGCAATGCTGTGGAGGTCAGAAGAGGGCTTCAGATTTCCCTGGAACTGGAGTTAAGGACAGTTTGTAGCCGCCATGTGGGTGCTGGGACTCGAACCCAGGTCCTCTGCAAGAGTAGTCGGTGCTCTTAACCGCTGAGCCATCTCTCCAGCCCCATGGATAACCTTTTACACCATTTAATCCCTTAAATTGATTTCATGGTTCGCACTAATGGGTGTTAACCCAAATATGAGAAACTGAATCAGGTGCCATTTTCTTAAACAGGTAGTGGTTGAGAAGCAAGCAATCATGTGCCTGGAGGTTATGATTAAGCAGCAGCAAAATGAGTAGGGAAAATGACACTAGGCAGGAGAATGCAAGTGATATAGGAGAATGAATGACAATAGAAAGAGCTCCCTAAATTGACCAGGCTGGCCTCGAACTTGCTCTATAGCCTAGGCAAGCCTTGACTTTTGATTCTCTTGCCTCAGCCTCCAGAGTAGCTGGGATTACAGGCCTGGTTTCTCCTTTCCTTTCTTCCTCCAGCCCTCTTTCCTTCCTTTTTCTTTCTTTCGATGTAAACTGTTGGGAGCCTGAGACTCAGCCATTTCTCAAAACTGCTGACAGACCTGAGTTGGTGACTTTCCATTCTGCCCACCATCCTCCCACGGGCACAGGACAGAGCCCACGGCCTTGGCCTGCAGCCTTGTTCTCCTTTCAGATTCCTCCCTTAGGGTACATCTGGGCCCCTGTGTTCTGGCTGATATGATTACTCACTCTTTGCTCCTTTGTTTTCATTCTCTATTTAACCCCATGCTTGAGCTGCAATAAACGAGACTTGATCAGAGCCCTGTCTTGTCTCCATTTCTCTTGTCTCTTGCCCCATCCAAATCCCCACTCCCCACTCCAGGTACCCGGCATTGCTGACTCCACGGGCCGGGGCAGTAAACAAGACTGGTTAGATATATACAGGGGAGAGGAGAGGAAAGAAGGGAGAGGCAACACTGCATTTTCCAGCCCAGGAGGTTAAACAGATGAAATGCCTTTGAAAACAGGATAGGGAAATTAGTAGAAAGCAACAAGTGTTAAGTCTCAATTCTACTCTAGGCAAAAAATGTTGTTGGTACATAGAGGAAGCTGGTAGTAGGTAATCTGACTATACCATATAAATTGGGATCAAAACCAAACAGAAATGTTGGGTTTAACTCCAGAGAAGGTAATTTAAATTATGACAGAGGAAAAGGGATGCCTTCAGGAAGGGTCTTTCTAAAGGATGAGGGTGTATGACTTTATGGTAAGAAAAGAGATTCAAGAGGATGAATGGTTCCATATGGGGCTAACTGAAGAGCAGACAAAGCTATTAAGAAAGATGAGGACTGAAGTCCAGTGTAGGAGTGAACATTTATAATCCCAGAACTTTGCAGGCAAAAGCAGAATGAACCGTTTAATCTCTAGGCCAGCCTGGTCTACACATATCAAGTTTCAAATTAGCCAGACCTATGTGATCAGACTGTCTCAAAAAACGAAAAACACAAAAACAGAAAAATAGCGTCTGTTTGGTAAATATAATTAAAGGTAACTGTGAAGGATGAAGCCAAATTCAAAAGTGGTAAAAGGGTGAGATGGTAAGAAAGTGAAAAAATTTCAAGTTTGTCCAGATCCCTCACCACCCCATTCCTTGCCTTGGAGGCACTGTAAATGGCTCCATCTCCTCCAGGTAGCGACTTAAGCCCAGCTCTTCTGAGACAACTACCCTAGTCCCAAGCTAATACTGGGTTCTTGGTCGCTTCTCCACTGTCAGCGCCGGGTACCCAGGCCGGGCTTGTCTGCGATGGGTGCAGATGCTGCTGCTGCGGCGGCGGCTGCGGCTGCGGCTGCTGCGTTCCTGGTCTGGATGTGGGATGCGAAGGCAGTTAACATTTCCTGGGCGGTAAGGTGGGTGCTGCGCATAATCAGCCGATGCCCATCTCCTGGGGAAGATGCAAACCGTTAAGTCAGGGACCCGGGGGTCTGAGGGGTTGAGGCCACCCGCCGCCCTCCCCTGACAGTCTTCCCAGCCAGGCCCACCGAACAGCACGTCCACGCAGGGATCGGAGCCGTCGTGCCTCACGTCGGCGATCACAGAGCAGTTGAGGTTAGTGGCTCGGACCTTCTCGCTGCTTACCGCCTGCAGGAAGGTCCTGCAGGAGGTGAGGGTGGGGTGAGCGCTCGACAGGGACAGGAGAGCACCGCGAAGGGCTAGAGGAGTGCGTGAGGGTTCCGCAGGCAAGAGCGGGAGGTAGGGGGTGCGCGCGCAGGCCTGGGGTCCTGGAGCGCCGGGCGGGGACGGGGGGGGCGCTGCAGGGGCGGACTGGGAACGCGCAAGGTCCGAAGGTCGCGCGCAAGGGTCCGGGCGCCTTCGCCTCCCACATCCCGCGGATCAATACCTCGTCGACTCCACGTTCTTCTCAAACGGGCAAAACTGAACTCGAACCTGCTTAACCGACCGGAGCCCCAGCCGAGCCAAGGCTGCCGCCATGGTAACTTCAGCCCCGGAAGGAGTAGCGCTGGGGGAAGTGCGTATGGCGGGACCGCTCCGACGCGAGACCGGAAGGTTGGCTTTCCTCCACGCACGGTCCTCTGCAGGACTCCCGGCAGCTGCCCGCACAGTTTGCCTTCGAGCCCCGCACCGGGCACGGAGGGGCCCAGAAGCAGCAGTCGCAGTCGATAAACGCTTCCTTCATTACCCACTTGTGCCATGGTGTTGACAATGAACGTGTAAAATTTGCATATGAAAACATGCTGTTTCCAGTAGCTTTTCCCCTTCTGTATACTGTCTCCTAGATCTAAGTTACCACCACCCTAAATTCTGGCCCTTTCCAGAGCATATAAGTCAAGGTCCTACAGCTTAATAACTAAAAGTAGAAATGGGGGGTATACACGGTAAGAAAGGCCTTCCTGTCAAATTTCATGCTGCAGTTTTCCCGCTACTCTGGATTGCAGATGCTGGGAGTGATCTTGGATTCTTAGCTTATAATTCCAGGCTCTATGTAGTTTATGTGTGTGTTCCACCAAGTCTCCAGTTCTAAGCCTTTAGCCAGTCTCACCATCATAGGTAATTGCCCTCATGGGGGTGGGGGTGGGGGGGCTTTAATAGCTAATGCTTTGGAACTCCTGGTCCTAGGCAACTTAGGGTTCAGGACTTGTACCCAGGCAGGAAATAAAAGGCAGGTGCCAACGAGGTTGCTGGTGCAACCTCAGGGCAAGCCAGGCCTGCTGATTTCCCACCAGGTAAGCCTCAGGACTAGGTCCTCCTCCTCCTAGGGCTCTTAGTAGGTGAGCTGACTGAGCTGGAGAGGCTTCAGGCTGTAGAGGGGGTGCCAAGATTTCCAGGCTGTTGAGGCTGCTGGTGGGCAATTCCGTGGTCTGAATCTCATCACAAACACCTGGCAAAACAGGAGTGGAACGATGATGGCTGGTAGGTGATACTAAAGCCAAATAATGGTGAGGTTGGGGTATATATTACTGAAAGCAGTGATGGAAGGGCTTAGGAGAACCTGGGCGTGGGGAGGGGGAGTGACTCACAGCAACAGGGAAGCCTTCTTTGGACTGTGTTCTTGGGCAGGGGCTGCTGCAGTAGACATAGCAGAGCCCCATCTAGCTGTTGGAAGATGCTGAGCATGAGCAAAGCCTGACGAAGCTCCGGGGACAGGTCCCACTGATCCTCTTCCAGCAACTCCCTGACCACTCCAAAGTCTTGTTTGAGCTGCAGCGCCCCCTGCAGGCTGAACGTCCAGGTACAATGTGGCTACCTGACCCTTCTGCCTCCCAAGTCCGCTGTGCCCCACTGAGCTCCATTTTTCCCAGTTGAATTCATCCCCTTGCCATACCACCTTTTCTCCCACCTGAACCGGATCCCATGGGTGAGGATGTGGTCAAGCCAGGCAACCAGTATGGCTGTCAGTGCCTGGCCAAGGGCAGGGGCCTGGGCTTCGGATGGCAATCCCTGCAATCCTTGCAGCACAGGCTCCAATACAGTGCGGACCACCATCCCTGCATACTCACTAGGAGCACTGGGATGTTCTAGCGTGAGAGAAGAGAAAGCACAAACTGAGGCTGTGGCAATGGGCCCCTAAATGAGAATTCTTGTTTATTCTAAATAAAGAAAACTTTATTTAGAATATGTTCGAGAGAAGACGATAGGATATGGGGGCACAAAAAAGTGAGGACAAGGATGGAGAGGGTGGTGTGCAACCAGGATTTGGACAGTTTGGAACCTCTGGAAGAAGGTGGGATGAGAAGGTACCAGGACAGTGGGCTGAAGGGTGGGAGCAGTGCAGTATTAGAGGTTGCCTAGCATGTTTGAAAGCCTGGGTCCCAACCCTAGTGCCACAGAGAAAGAAAGAAAAATTACCGGGACACAGCCGAAGCCTCCAGTACCGTCCGCGTGGCATGTGGCGCTGGAAGCCCTGTGTGGCTTGCTTATGGCATTCTTGGAAAAAGAGACTCAGTGACTCTTCAGGTAGGAACTGTGTGGGTGGGAAGAAGGGCTTATGTGTTAGACTAATCTGCGATGTTCAATGTAATGTCCATAAAATCCTGAACTGTATGTATAGCTGTGTGAGCCTGACCATTCTCTGAAAAAAAGTCAACTTTTCACTGTTTTCCAAAAGGTCTGAACCCAAATTATGAACAATACCTAGATTACCAGTTCTCAGTATTCAAAAGTACATGCTGGCATGGTGGGCACATGGCTAAAATCCCAGCATTTAGGAGGTGGGAGCAGGAGGATCCTTGGCTACATAGCAAGTTTGAAGCCAGCCAGGGACACATAAAACCCTGTCTCAAAAAACAAAGCTATGTGTGGTGGCACACACCTTTAATCCCAGAAGCGCTCAAGAGGCAAAGACAGGAAGATCTCCATGAGATTGAGGCCAGTCTGGTCTACATAGCCAGTCACAGGCCACCTGGGGCTATAGGGAGACCCTGTCTCAAAAAGACACAAAAAAATCTTAGAGGAACAATAAATGGGGCTGAGGCTATAGCTTGGTGGCACAGTGCTTACCTCAGTGTAGTATACATGAGGCCCCAGAGTTGACTGAGCAAAAGGGAGAGAGAGAAGAAACAGCCAACCATGGATGAAAGGTAGGGTTATTTTTCCTGTTAGGGGGTTGGCCTGAAACTTTAGGTAGACCAGGCTGGCCTGATCTCATGGAGATCTGCCTCTGCCTCACAAGTGCTGGGATTAAAAGCCTGTGCCACCATGCCTGACAATTCTTTTACTTGTTCAAATAAGAACTTTAGGGAAGCTGGGCATGGTGGCACAGGCCTTTAATCCCAGCACTCAGGAGGCAGAGGCCTGGGGCTACAGAGAGACCCTGTCTCAAAAAGACCAAAAAAAAAAAAAACTTTAGGGGAAGCCAGGTGTGGTGGGGCATGCCTTTAATCCCAGCACTCGGGAAGCAGAGGCAGGCAGAGCATTGTGAGGGCAAGGCCAGCCTGGTCTACATAGTGAGTTCAGGTCAGCTGAGACTACAGGAAGACCC